TTCAGGTTTGAAATGCCAGTATATTTTATCAGGTCCTGTCAATAAGATTAATGTAGCGTCAACATGTACTCTTGATTGCGCATGAATAGGAAGAGTAACTGTTCTTTTCCTCGAGTTTTCTGTGCTCAAAAGCAGTATTTTCTTATTCTTTAAAAAACATCATGAAAGTACAAGTGCCAAATTGATGAGGCGATGGAGTTCCTAATCAATATCCTTCCAATTTGCATGTGTTCATGCGTAGGTTGCTGCAATAAACACTGCTATGGCTGCTCTCACAAAAACAGTTGGTGTCTTTCCCAAGGAACGAGCAATTGTTGATAGAGAGCGTGCAAAAGGGTCTTATGCTCTGGGACCATATTTGCTTTCCAAGTTGATTGCTGAGATTCCTGTTGGAGCAGCATTTCCTCTACTCTTTGGTGGCATCCTATACCCAATGGCTCGACTTCATCCTACCATTTCTAGGTGAGTTTACCACTGTTTATGAGTTGTACACATATATGTGTTGCTGATTAGAGTGAAGTTATTAAGGCTATTTCATGTGATCTCCCCGATTTCAAGTATGTTTTTCTCAAGGACAGAGGTCTCCCTGCTTTAAGAAATTCTTTTTTTGATGACCGAGAAATTCTCAGGGCCAGTGATGCAAGATTTAGAACTTGGTGGATCATGGGTGCTTTTAAGTAATTACAAAAAAGATCCTAAGATGAAAAGATCTAAGTTACTAGCTGATCTCTGAGTCTGCTTTGAGTAAAGTATGGGGAAACTGCATGTCTATGCATTTTCCTGTGACTAATACTTAGGAGAAGACAGAGAAGGCCTTAAGCTACAATACCTCAATAAATACATCAACTCAAGCTCAGAAAAAACTTGGCATTTAGAAAGACAACTTTTAATATCTTTATTAGAAATATCCACATTCAAGTAATTTTTCTAGGTTGAATAGCAGCAAAGGATATAATCATCTCAGTCATAATCAGTTCATCTATTTTTATTACGAAAAAAGGGCTGTGGTTAATGTTTTATGGATTGTCAAAATCTTTCTTGAACAAAGCAATTGAAATGGGAACACATGTATGCATATATTCCTTCTGTGCATCAAATTAATGACTTCATAACCATCAGTCAAGATGTCATATAAGCTTCTTCACCAATCACCTTGCTGAGCTCATATTTGCCAGGTTCAACGAAGGTATTTACTCTGAAGTCTTACTGTGCCTTTATTGAGAAAAGGGTCTTCGCAGTCAATTTTTTGCACTATGGCGTTCATTCGTTGTTTCTTGCATTCACTTTCCGAATTTTAGTGGTCCCGTGACTTTTCCCCCCTCCAGTGACAGATGCTATCTGTAGCTTTTGGTAACTGGTATTTCAATAAAATGAGACACAAGGTTGGAAATTAGAATACACTCCACATTGAGTGCTGAAACCGTTCTGCTTTGGTTTGTAGATTTGGGAAGTTCTGCGGAATTGTGACGGTGGAGTCTTTTGCTGCATCTGCTATGGGCTTGACTGTGGGAGCTATGGTTCCAACGACTGAAGCTGCATTAGCATTAGGTCCCTCTCTTATGACAGTTTTTATTGTCTTTGGAGGCTCCTATGTCAATTCAGACAACACACCAATTATTTTTCGGTGGATTCCTCGAGTTTCGCTTATAAGATGGTACTAAATGTCCCTTCATATGCCAGAGTACTGGGCCATTCCTTGAGTCTACTAGTCTTTCTATCCAAGGGCTTCAATAGTTGGTGAATTTCTTGTTACTTTCAGGGCGTTTCAGGGGCTTAGCATCAATGAATTTAGTGGCCTTCAATTTGAGCATCAAAAAACATTTGACGTACAGTCTGGTGAACAGGTGAGTGAAGACAGAGGACTCCTTTTTACTTCATAAGATTCTCCTTTGAATTGCTCTACTATCTTTTGTAGAAATTTTAATGTATGGACATCAATTTTTAGATCATTGAACTAAAACTTCCAATTATATGGCAAAAGCTTCTCTAATTTACCCAGAAAATCATGTTGGTGTATTGAAACCTTAGGAGGCTTTGGCGCAGAGAGAACTAAGGTTAGCTCTAGATGGCTCGTGAACCTTTCACGTCTGAGTATTAGCATGACCATTTAAGGACTAGTGTATGACTGATAGGCACAAATACTAAGGTTAACATGATGAACACATTGTTTATAAATGGCAATACTGCAGCCATGGTTTTGTTTTTCCCATTTTTTTTCTTTACTCAGAAACGTATTGTTTTGGTTGTTTTCTTCCTTTTGTTGTTCTTCAGCGTCATGCATCAGTTTGACACCTGGCCAACTTCTAACCTAAACTAGCTTCTATGTTCAATTTAGAGTTATTATTTTAGATTAATGCTAAACCAAGGTGATAATAAACATAGATAACTGGAAACCTGGAGAGTTGAAGTCAATACATACCTAAAATCTGTAGCAGACAACACTAAAAGTGCTTCACATTTCAAAAAGTGGAATCCTGCTCCCTCTTGGATCTTCGGGAGGTGGTTCCATTGCAAGAATATTTTTTTCTCACTGTCCGAACTTCAAGATTGAATTCACCATATCCTCTCTCCCTTCATTTTATGCTTGCTGATCAAAATCCAAGCATTGGCAGTGAATCAAATTGTTTTCATCCTTGTATGGCAACATCTTGAATTTTGCTTCTACAGGTACTCGAGCGGCTATCATTTGGAGGCAGCCGAATAGGTGATACCATTACTGCTCAAAGTAGAATTCTCATGTTTTGGTATTACACAACGTATCTTCTCCTGGAGAAAAATAAACCCAAGTATCAACGGCTTGAACCTCCACCACGTCTCAAAGATATCGAAGAAGAGCCAGAGGAAGAAGCAAAGCTTCAGCCCATAAAGGATGATGATTTGCCTGAACCAACTCAACAAGTTGAATCTCCGCCCTCAGATGAAGGTAAACCCGACGAGCAGCAGGAATCTTCTCCTGCTGATCCACTTGATCTGTTTACCCTTGACGGCTTGTAAATTGCTTGGGAAAAATGGATGATGTTGATAACAAAGATATGCGACTTTTTTATTGATTTATCTCCTACAGGTGCTAATCAAAAGGAGATGCTTGTGCAGTAAAGGGAGGTCTTTCTTATGTGAGCTATTGAGCTAATTCTACTAATATGCAGTAAATTTCATCTCCTTCCTGTTATCTTTAGGGGTCAAAAGCATTAGAAACTCCATGAAGATCGTCTCGACTCCCGAATAATCGTGAAGTGTGGTAACTATGATCTGAACTCTAATGTAAAGTTTGAACTTTTTGGCCTATTTTCATAACCAAAAAAAAAAACTCACTGTTGATTGGATCATTGGAATCAAATAATTTCTATGACGAGTTTAGTAGGTCGTGTCAAATGGCATTTTCATCCTTGAAATGTATGGTTTTAATTGTTATTAGACTCCACCCGTGGGATTACACCAGGTATGGTTGGTATAATGTCTTTCCATATCCTCTTTGTTGATTCAGAAAAGGTTATTTAGGATTGTCGTTGCACCCAAAACTATGATCTAGTTAATAAAAAAAGAATTTTAGAGTGGTAGTAGTTTGTGTTTGGTTAAATTATTATAGTCACTTTGTTATAATAACATCAGAAATAATTATAAAGAAAAACAGAAACAAGAATGATAAATTGCAGATCGAAAAACTGAATACATTTAATGTTGACCAGAATCATATTCGAATTTGTACTTTAAAATGAACTCTATTAATTAATTCATTGACAAAAGTTAGTCAACGTCTTCTAGGTTTGGGTAAGCACGTCTTAAAACTGAAATAATTATTGCAGGGTTTCAATAGTCAACTATAACGTGGAGTTCAACATCAATTACGATAGGTCGATAAGAAAATAAATTTTGAACTTAATTTCATTTAAAAAATTAGCTCATGAGACGTAAATTGTTCAGTTCAAGTAGCGATTAGTATAATTCAATTCAACATTTTGTTCCTTGGAGAGGTATAGCTAGGTCGTGAATTGCCAATCATCGTACTATAAAAATTGGATAGGTTTGATCTATAGTCACTTTCTTTGGATTAATATTCTTTTAAAGTTATTTCCATCTCAGTTTTGCGTCAGCCAATAAAATAATAATACTATATAGTATAGAAATTAAAAACCCTGGTGATCTGGTCTTTCCAACTACTTTCTGATTTCATTTTCAAAAATAAACAAATGAATATTTTTTCAATTTATTGTTTAATAGATGTTTTACATTAAAACGTCCAACCCTACCTGGAAAATAAAATGGGAAGATACAGAGAACTAAATATTAAAAAAAGAACCGACCTGCACAAAAGTCAAACCATATTACCTGAATGACTAGTTGAATTTATGCACTAAAATTTGTTTAACATTGAAATTTATAGTACTTTTTCCACCGTAAATTTAGACATATAATCTTAAGAATTTTGAAAAATAATTTACATATTCAGAAACTAAATCAAAAGTATGATAAATAACACGAATTAACAATTTTAAAAAAGCAAAAAAATATCATATACATTAGGATAAGAAATGTTAAAAATACCATGTAAGAGTAACGTCGTAGAATTGAAAATTGAAAATTGATTTGTTCTCATATATAAAAGGAGACACTTTTTTTTAAGCAAATAAATAGATAGAAGTGGTAAGTATATTTTTTTAATATATTTTAAATTCTTTTAGCGAAAATACTCGGCCCGCTGCCAATTAATATTCATTATATTTGCAAGTTGCAAGTTGCAAGTTGCAAGACTAAATCATATATTGACCATGTCTACTTGACAAATGATATAATCTAAATTATTTTTCTATTAATTATCGGTGATGACAGTTAATATAACAAGGTTTTCCTTAATCATTTTTTGGCTTAATACTTTAAATTAATAATTAATTAACATTACCCTATGTCTCCAACATCTATAAATACAGACACCCAAAGCCTATTATAACCCAAATCTCATTTTTCAATATTTATACAATTCTCAAAATTAATCACTCTAAATAATGGCAACAACAACTTCTTTTCTTTCATCTTCTCCATTTTCATCAAGACGAAAATCATCATCATCATCATCACGAAATTCGAGGACAACGACGTTGGCAATGGGGAGAGAAGCTCAAGATCGAAACTATTACAATGGTCGTAATGTAGATGAAAACTTAATTATTTTACGTAAGAGAATTCATGAGATGAAAATGATCGAAAGAAATTACGAGCCTCCATCTAATTGGATGGATTGGGAAAAGAGTATATACGCTAATTACGATGCAAATATTTGTCAAGCATTGGGATTGTTGCAATCTATATTAATGGATACAAGACCTAGTTTGGTTTTGGGCATGGCTGCACTTATTGGATTAAGTGTACCCATTTCAACTATTGTGATCTTGTTTCATTTGATTGAGTTAACCAAGGGAATTTTAGCTTGATAATATATTTTTTAAAGATATTTTTGTAACGGCTAAAGTATTGTCTGCTTTGATTAGATCTAATAGCTAGGACTAGCTTTACGATTTTATTCTCAAAAACATTTCTATCGATCCCACTTATATATGGGATTGACCCTAACTTTTCTTGTTGCATATGTTTTAGTCATTCGTAGAATAATATTTTAAAGATTTTCTTTTGGTATGTACAATATTATATATTTATAACTCAAGAATAAATACAAAGTTTTTATTCTTTTCATTCTTTGTTCAATAGAGTATCTGGATTTATGCATATTGGTTCTTTGTTGTTTTTTCTAAAAAAAAATCGTTCAATGTTCGATATTTATATTGGAATGTGATGAAGTTAGATTCGTTTAGAAAAGTTTCATGTTAGGAAATCAATCGTTCCCAAATAAATTGAAGCTTAATACCTATCGGAGTAGACAAGTGGGGAGCAGGGAGTCCATTCAAATCTTTTTCGGTAAAAAATTTCATTGTATTGTATGCATATATAAGATTAAAATTATTTTATATGTATGTATAGAAGATATTGAATCCTTTTGTTTTTTTATTTTATTTTTCGTGTGTTTACTTCTTTATATTTTGAAATCGATTTCACTATTCCGTACCCCACCTAATTCTCTTTCCCAAGGAAAAGACAATATAGTACTTATTTGCAATCATAAAAATAGAAAAATTTCAGAGTTACATGTTTTTCAAATATTGCCCTAGCCATTGATATCCAATAAAGTAAAACTTGCATAAATCAAGAGTCCCCAGCCATGGATTCAGGATTTGTACTTTTTTTAAATATTTTATTTTATGATTTTTAGTTTTATTTCTTTTTATTCTTTTAAATTTTGAACTTAGCTTTTTTTTTTTTTTTTTACTGTCAATCATTGATAAATAAGGGTAGATATTATAGGAGTAACATATATCTACCTGTTGTTACACAAGTAAAAAATGTGTAACTATCTCATTTAAAAATTTAAACTTACGAATATTTAATTCAAAAGAGAGAAGGGGAGCTCGAGGAAAGAGAGACATATAGATCGAGTATATATCCATCTCTATATTTATTAAATTGCGGATTCTGAAATGATAAAATAAATGAGGTAGGAGATAACCACTAAATAAAATTTAATTAATTAATTAAAAATATTTTTTTACTACGATTAAAAACTTAGGTTTCAAGAAATAAGATAATAAGATATTCCATTCCATAAAGCAAAACATTAGTAACATTAATTAACCACATAATTACAAGAATAATTAATAAGATCTTAACTATCCATCTCATACATTGCAAGAACAATTATTCATGTAGAGAATTCATCCACCTTTCTCCAAAAACCCTACTTGTGCCATATACCAAATTCAACAATTTTTTAAGTTCTCACATGATGTTCAGTATTCAATTTGGGGCCAATCGACTAATTTGAATTCATATCATGCCACTTCGTGCAGATCAATTCGACTTTTCACTTTGCCATCTAGAGATAATTTGTCCTGAGTTAGGATACGAAGTTAGAAGAAAATGTCAATGTATCAATTCTATTATTTTGCCTCTCTTTGCTTCTGGGGCAGTGAATTTTTCTTATAATCCATCGCTAATATGTAACTAAATGAAATTAGGATGAGATTTTGTTGTTTAGCTATGAAATTTTTCCGTCACTATACACAACCTGCTGCAAATAAATAAATTCAGTATAATTGATTTGTGAAACCAATTAATGAATTAAACACAAAGTAAATAAAATCAAGAAATTGGCTCAGAAATATAAGAAAATATCACATAGAGAAAAAAAAAAAAACCTTTAATACCTAATTAACTAATTAAGTAACCTTTAATATAGTAATACCTAAGTGTTTAATTATAACACACAAAATTTATTATAACATGTTAAATTATATAGATAGCTTACATACATTCAAACTATATATTGGCACATTATTTTGCTATATGCATGAAAAATTAAGGCGTAGTGGATATATAATAGGGAGCTCCCTTCAGTCCAAGACGTGACAACGCTAGCTAAACATAGCTCACGCATCGTTGAATCTCAAACACGTCAATTTCTAAAAATGTTTGTTGACGTGCTTGAGAATCAACGAGTCGTCAGCTGTGTTTTTAACCTTCGACTGCCTCGGACTGGACCGGAGAGAGCTCCTTATTTTCTCCATATGCCCTAAATAGAAGAAGAAAATTTTAATTAAATGCAAAAAAAATAATAACATGAAGTCATACTTGAAACTACAAAAAGAAGAAGAAAACATGCATGGGACATAAAATAACACTAGAAAAATTAAATTTTAAATTTTCCTATATTATATATACTTTTAATTTATGAGTGAAGTGTGTGTGTGAGAATGGCAAGTTAAAAGAAAGAGAGAAATATATAAAGAGGGAAATTGGGAACATGAAAAAATCTAAGTGTAGATTTAGAGCAGTGTACGAAGCCATACAAATAAATTATAAGTTATGTATAAAATAATTAGAGGTGATTTTTTTATAAATAATCTTAAAAACTATAGGTTAACTTGTACTGACTAATGATAGTATAATCTTTTCTACATTCTCTATTATATAATATCATAGTATTCTCATCGTTCCATTTTATGTGGCAAAATGGGGAGTACCAATTCAAACCTTATGTTCTTAAAAAAAAAATTCTTCCAAAAAACTAATTACACAGTCAAAAATTATATAAAAGTACAATAGTCATAATAACTAATAATTCAAAATATTTCTAAAAAAGCATAATTAAAGTTTTTTTTTTTTACTCACAAAATACAATTGGTATGCTTAACTATGTCTGATACGACATTACATTTATCAATATTGTACAAGTTGACAATTTATGTATGTGAGAATAGTCAAAAAAACAAAAGATCTCGTACACTCGTTATACATTAAATCAAACAGCTGTGTGGTAAAAAAAGTGATTTTGGGCACAGCAATATATATTTGGGATAAGGTGGGAGTGGTTTTGATGAATGACAAGATACGAAAAAATAAAATAAAAAAATATTAAGATGATTTGAACATGTAAAAAGAAATGTACAAATGCTTCAATGTACAGTTGTAAGAGGTTGGTTATGAATGATTTTAGGGTGACTGAAGAAGTATCGGAGAGATGTGATTAGGCAGGACTTATCGAGGGTATGCCATTAGATAAGAGACTATATATGAAGGTTACATATTCGAATAGAATAGTATTGTCTCACTTATACTTTCATACTAGTACTCATAACAATACTCTTATCTTATTCGTCAATTTTTGTTACTATATATTATTGATTGTACTTTCATTATAATAATATTTATATTGTTGTAGTTATTGTTTTTTTTAAAAAAAAATATTTGTCATGTTACTTTAGTATTTTTTCATGACTTTTCTTTAAAAAAAAATTCAAACTACTTTGCTATAGTTTTTTTTAGTAGAAGATCTGTCAAAAATAGTGACTAAGAAACAAAAGAAGTCATCACTAGGGATAAAATATGTGTACCACTTGTGAAATTACTCTAAATATATAAATTAAAGGGTAAAATATACAATTGGTTTACCGAAAATAATTGAGAGAAAATAGGACAGATCTTTGTGTGTAGACTAGTTCCATAGGAATAAAAAAGCAAATGGTAAAAATATCCTATTTAGCTTTTCTCCCCAACCACATGATGCAATTCAAAATAAGTACATATTTTTTCTCTGTTTTTTTTTAACTAATCATTTAGTATTTGGAGTTTTCTGATCCGATTAATTTGAATTTATGTCGGACATACCCCATTAAGATGATGCTCTTGATAAATTCTCAATTTTCAGAGTTAAACTTCAAAATTCTTGATTATGAACGGAGATATTCAATCCATCTAAAAATAACTTTATTTTAACGTAAACTTCAAGAAATTAAAAAGAAGTACAAATTTGCTGATATTTGTTGTCAAATTATAGGTATAAGTGGTTGTGATGACTTCCTTCTATTTCTAATTACTCGATGTTTGGTATTATATTGGGGATATATCTAATTTAAATTCATGTTATATAAGATTAATTAAAAGAGTGAGTTCTTCCTATAAAAAAAAATTTCACACGTAAGGATCGGACTTGAAATTTGTAATTCGTATCTCTTCATGACTTCAATCCTTGGGCTATGCCATGATCAAATTCAACAATGTATGTAGCATATAAATTTGTGTTATGCCTTTTATATAGTAATATATTTTTTTGGATATGAGATTAATTTAAAGTGTTACATAAATCCTTTTTAAAAAATTTATCAATCAAGAAGTTTGTCAATTTTTTTCTTGACCCACCTTTATGAGCCCGCCCTCAAATATCACAATATTCATAATTTCATATCATAAACTTAGAGACGAGGACATATAATATAAAATCAAATTAGTCACAATTTATAGTATAGTACAGTAATTAATGTCTTGGTCACAACTCACAAAGTGAAAGTTGATTTTCTTTTCTTCCTTCAGAGGAAATTTCTTTTTTCTATTTGATATTCGATTTTAGTAATGAAATTCGAGTATATTTTGATTTACACATTGTAGGAACCATTTTTAAAAGTGATACTCTCAATAAGAGTTTTTTTTCATTTCCAGTGGCTCATACCTGATTTAAAGGAGGGAACTATGTAAAAAAAAATGAAAACTGGGACCTTGTTATTGTATAGTATAGTACAGTAACAATACGTGACATCTTAGCTTAAGATTAGAAGTCTCACATCAGTAAAACATAGGAGAGATGTTGGGAGTATAATTAAGTAGGTCTTACATACTAATGATATGTTTTGAAGTCGTGTGGGTCTAGACAGAAAGCGGAAAATATCACTAGCGGTCTTAGATGTTCAAAATGATAACAGAGTCACTCTTGTGTCAGTTTTGTTGATGTGGGTCATGCGGTGGGGCAAACCTCATCAAAAACATTGAGTCCATAAGAGAGGGTGTATATGACACCCTAACTTAAGATAACAAGTTCTACATCGACAAAACATGATTGAGAT